AATCAGACTCAAAGGTTAGGATGCCCTCTCAGTGATCTCTGCTTTGAAGATAAGAAAAGTGTCGTCTATGTCTTTAAAAGCATCGCTTGAAGTTCATAGCTCTCAGACCAGGTGTAATCCAGGGGAGACGGAGTTTCCAAAGTGACATATCAGAGTCTTGGCCTCTTTTTTCCTGGTGTTTGGGGCGATGTGTGGGGGTAGAGGCAGTGATAGCTCTACAAGCAGGAGTTCGGTTAGCAGCATGCAGGGGCTATACCGCCATCTTTGCCAACTAAATCAGGGCTGCAAGGCCTCCATTCAGCTGAAATGTGCAGGCATTGAACTTACTGAGGCTTTGGTTTGTTCTGGCTCCCTTTGCTGGGAAAAGCCCTTCCAACACTGCTTTGCTCTTCACCCAGGAAGCTGGGGGTGATGGAATAGATTGGGGAGACACTGCTGCTTTGCAGATCACTGTGCTGGAAGCGGGAACTCAGGGTAAGTGCTCCCTCCACTGCAGCCCTGGCGTCCTCAAAGGCCCCTCCCTGTGTCTCTAGAAACAAAAAATTACACTGCTGAGTTTGAACTTCTTGCACATTTAACTGCTTTCTTGAAATCTTGATGATGATGTGAGTGCAGGGGGATGGAGAGAGGCTTTTAAGATTAAGCCTAGAAACTTTCAGCTTTTTAGATAATGAAGAATGTGTTCAGCTATTCTGATAGGGGGCTTCACTGAAGTCTGACCTGACTTCCTCCCTCCAGCTGAGGGGGTGTAGCCATGACATGAGCCACTAGAGGGCAGTGCAGGACGGTACTTCACCTCCCACCGCCCACCAGAGCAGACGGCGGCCCTTCCATTCCTGGGAATGCAGCTTTGCTGTCCTCCTCACAGATTGGGGTTGGCATTAGAGCCTGATTAGAGCTGAGACATACAGGAAAGGATAATCCTTGCCCCTTGTGTTGGAACAGAAAGTGGCTTTAGTGCAGTGAGTCTGTCTTTATTAACCACCAAGGCTTCTCAAACCTGAGGGTCTACTCTTTCTCCAATCCTCAGCTTTATAATTTCTCTCTCTGTCCATGGCAGCTCCAGAAGGTGTTGCTAGGGGCCCAGACGCCCTGACACTTCTTGAATACCCTGAGACCCGGAATCAGTTTATCGATGAGCTCATGGAGGTGAGTTTTGGTCTCTGGGGGGCCATTCCTCTCTGAGTGAAGGGCACTGAGCCCTCTCCCTGTTATGGAGCCAGGACATCCCATATTAGGATGCCCCCCACCACCCTGCTATTTACCATATACCTCTGAAGCCTATGGCACAGCCTCCAAAGCCCCTGGTGCCAAAAATTGAGCAGGGAATAAGACAGCAAGGTCCCTAACCTCATGGAGCTTATATTCTAGTGGGGAAGGCAGATGAGACAAGATAATAATATAAAATATGCAGTATGTTAGATGTCAACACAAGTGCCATGGAGAAGAAGAAAGCTGGGGAGGGAGATGGGATTGTTGGGAAGGGCTGCAGCTTTATATCGGTGGTCAGGAAAGGCCTCCTGGTGAAGGTGACCAGTAAGTCAAGACCTTCAGGGGTGCAGAGGGAACCACGCTGATGTCTGGCAGAAGAGCTCTCCAGGCAGAGGGAGCAAAGGCCTCAGGTGGGAGTGTGCCTTTTCCATCTGATGAGCAAGGGAGCCGGGGAAGCAGAAGGGCTTTGAGAGGTGAAGAGGGTCTGAACACAGCTTTTGCTCTGGCTGAACTGGGAAGCTGTTGGAGGTTTTGAGCTGGCTTGGTTGGAGTGACATGATCTCATTTGTGGTTGAATACCATCCCTGTGGCTAAGGTGTGGAGCAGCCCAGAGCCAGAGTTCTTGGGCCTTCGCTGTGGGTCTAGGAAGCTCAAGCCTGTCTTTGCTAAACTCTGGGTCTGTCCCTTCCCAGTGGCCTACTGTTTGGGGAAGGCTTTGTGAAAGTTCTCAGCCCTCACCAGTTCCCTTCTCTTTTTGTTCCAAGAGGAGGCAAGAGGACCAATGGAGTCAAGTTGCTGTGGAAGAATAAGAATATGTGACTGGTTCTCAGATTCTTTCTAGGCTTTTCTTAATCCAGGTTTCTCAGACACAGATTCCTATTCGATGAATCTCATTCCTCTCATGGACAGAAAATACTTACACTGGGGCAGAAAGAACTATTTGAATTTCTGTGTTTTTAGTAATCTGATCCGTAGGCGGGTGGGAGGAAGGAGGGTGTCCTGGGCTAGGAAAGACCAAAGAGTGCCAGCAAAAGCTGCCGTCAGCTCTCACGTTTTATTTGGTGAGTTTCTAGCAACAGAAGTGTTTGGGGGCAGTAACCCCTCCTCACCCAGAGTCTAACCTTCACATCTCGTTCTAGCATTTTGAGCAGTCTCAGGGCTTAGCTTCTGAGTTCTGTTCTTGATTTGAACCAAATCTTCTTCTCTCCTCAGCTGGAGATCTTCTTGTCTCAGAGAGCAGTGGAGATGAGCGAGGAGGCAGACATCCTGTCTATAAGCCAGTTCCAGCTGGCTCCAGCCGTCCTGCAGGGCCAGACCAAGGCAAAGATGGTTACCATGGTGTCAGTGCTGCAGGATCTGATTGGCCAGCTCACCAGTATTCGAATGCAACACCTTTTTATGATCCTAGCCTCACCAAGGTCTGGCTTTCCCCTTGACTTTGGGCTATTCTGGGACATGATGCAGAGCTCTGCCGCCTTGAGCAGCCCTGACCCCTTAGGCCTCATCCCTGCCTCCCATAACAGTGTTGTCCAGCTAGGGACAAAGGTTCTCTTTGGGGCAAGATGGAGTGGTGTGATGAATCTGCCTCCTGGGTAGGACAGGGCAACTGGATGTGGTACCCCTCACAAAAAGGGATTGAAGGATGTGGAGGCTGAGAGGCCAATTAGAGATTTGGTTTCCTGAGCCTCACTTTTCCCAGCAGAGAATGGGGATGCTCGGGTCACACAGCGACACCAAACGCTTACCCAAGTACCCTGCCCAGGTATGTGGACCGAGTGACTGAGTTCCTTCAGCAGAAGCTGAAGCAGTCGCAGCTGCTGGCTTTGAAGAAAGAGCTGATGGTGCAGAAGCAGCAGGAAGCACTTCAGGAGCAAGCGGCTTTGGAGCCCAAGCTGGACCTGCTGCTAGAGATGACCAAGGAGCTACAGAAGCTGGTGAGCCAGCTCGGCGAGCTGCCACAGGGGCAGGCTGCAGTTTCTGCAGAATGAGGCCCCTGCACCCCTCTGCTTCCTGCCTACTTGGTGTCCCCTTCTTTCAGATTGAGGCTGACATTTCCAAGAGATACAATGGGCGCCCCGTGAACCTGATGGGAACCTGTCTGTGACGCCCTCCACATTCTTCCTGCCCATCTTCCCATCCTTCAGGACAGAGTGGGACAGTCAGGTCTGGTGTTGCAGGGCCCTTTCTGGCAAGAGACCAGGCCGACCGGAGGATGGGAAGCCACATGAAGGACCCATCACCCACACGGTGACCCTGACACTCACTACTCTGTGCAAGGAGCTGTCTTGATTGGCCCTGTGGCCCATCAGCCTGAAGCCACAGCTTCTGCTCCTTCATGTTATCTAGTTGGACTTAATAAAAGAGGAAGAGACTCTTGCCTCACTACCAGCAGTTTCTGCTTCTCTGGGTGTGGAGTTAAGGCTGTGCCCCTGTTTGCCTGGGGTTCTTGATCCAGGTGGGCTCTGGGGGCCATCGGCTGTTCCTGTGGAGCCCCAGGTTAAGGACTTGCTCTCTCTGCCTCTGGTGTTGGGGTTGCGGGGGTCAGACTGCATCTACAGGTGGTTCTGCAGGGGCTCTGGGGAAGCTGAGTCATCTGTATCCCTTCCTCTCCACAGCCAGGCCAGACTGCCCCACTCAGGCCAGAAGCCCAAGCAAAACAGTCAGGTGACAGCTGTGTGGAGCCAGGAAAGCCGTATTTTTCCTTTAATTACAGCTTACCTCCAGGCAGAGGGGAAATGTGGCTGGGGAGGAAGGGTCTGAAAAACAAGGTGGAGACAGGCAGTGTCACCTTCACTAGCCGCCTGTCTGCTGCCTGCTCTGTGATTGGGTAGAGCCACCCCAGGATAGCACCCTTCTCCCAAGCTGCCTACCCGTCCCATTTCCCAGGAAGGGTAGGGGTTGGGGGTAGCCAGCAATTCGATTTTAATTTCATAGCAGAGCAGTTGATTCATGGCTCTTTGTCGCCAGCGTTGACTCCCATAATGACTTTCCATCAAAATGAAAAGTGGAGTGACACCACTCATTATTCCTGCTGCTTGTTATCTCAGTTCTGGGGAGGGCCGCCCCCTCCCTGCTGCCTTTCAGCCGTCCTGGACAGTGAGTGATGGCCCCTATTAATCACCGACCCCGCGGACTCTGGCGGACACACGCTATCCAAAGGAAAGAGATAAGGCAGCATGAACTGCTCAGAGCCGCTCCTATCAATTAATGTCAGCCCATCGCTTCCCCCCAATCTTTGCCTGGTCACCTCCTTTTGGGGTTCTTGGGACTGAAATGAAAAGTCTAGGAATTGAAAAAGGAAAAAAATTGGTGTGGAATGTCAAGGTAAAGTGTCCTTAGAATAGAAGGGCATAAAGGGGCCTGAGGGGGCTGCATCCTGCCCTCAGACACTTGGCCCTCGGCCTCGGGAACTGTCTGTCTCCTGGTCCCTTCCCCCCGGAGAGAGTGGCTGCTATCTCTGGCCCCACCTGTTCAGCTGGGGGGCCATTCCTCTCTGAGTGAAGGGCACTGAGCCCTCTCCCTGTTATGGAGCCAGGACATCCCATATTAGGATGCCCCCCACCACCCTGCTATTTACCATATACCTCTGAAGCCTATGGCACAGCCTCCAAAGCCCCTGGTGCCAAAAATTGAGCAGGGAATAAGACAGCAAGGTCCCTAACCTCATGGAGCTTATATTCTAGTGGGGAAGGCAGATGAGACAAGATAATAATATAAAATATGCAGTATGTTAGATGTCAACACAAGTGCCATGGAGAAGAAGAAAGCTGGGGAGGGAGATGGGATTGTTGGGAAGGGCTGCAGCTTTATATCGGTGGTCAGGAAAGGCCTCCTGGTGAAGGTGACCAGTAAGTCAAGACCTTCAGGGGTGCAGAGGGAACCACGCTGATGTCTGGCAGAAGAGCTCTCCAGGCAGAGGGAGCAAAGGCCTCAGGTGGGAGTGTGCCTTTTCCATCTGATGAGCAAGGGAGCCGGGGAAGCAGAAGGGCTTTGAGAGGTGAAGAGGGTCTGAACACAGCTTTTGCTCTGGCTGAACTGGGAAGCTGTTGGAGGTTTTGAGCTGGCTTGGTTGGAGTGACATGATCTCATTTGTGGTTGAATACCATCCCTGTGGCTAAGGTGTGGAGCAGCCCAGAGCCAGAGTTCTTGGGCCTTCGCTGTGGGTCTAGGAAGCTCAAGCCTGTCTTTGCTAAACTCTGGGTCTGTCCCTTCCCAGTGGCCTACTGTTTGGGGAAGGCTTTGTGAAAGTTCTCAGCCCTCACCAGTTCCCTTCTCTTTTTGTTCCAAGAGGAGGCAAGAGGACCAATGGAGTCAAGTTGCTGTGGAAGAATAAGAATATGTGACTGGTTCTCAGATTCTTTCTAGGCTTTTCTTAATCCAGGTTTCTCAGACACAGATTCCTATTCGATGAATCTCATTCCTCTCATGGACAGAAAATACTTACACTGGGGCAGAAAGAACTATTTGAATTTCTGTGTTTTTAGTAATCTGATCCGTAGGCGGGTGGGAGGAAGGAGGGTGTCCTGGGCTAGGAAAGACCAAAGAGTGCCAGCAAAAGCTGCCGTCAGCTCTCACGTTTTATTTGGTGAGTTTCTAGCAACAGAAGTGTTTGGGGGCAGTAACCCCTCCTCACCCAGAGTCTAACCTTCACATCTCGTTCTAGCATTTTGAGCAGTCTCAGGGCTTAGCTTCTGAGTTCTGTTCTTGATTTGAACCAAATCTTCTTCTCTCCTCAGCTGGAGATCTTCTTGTCTCAGAGAGCAGTGGAGATGAGCGAGGAGGCAGACATCCTGTCTATAAGCCAGTTCCAGCTGGCTCCAGCCGTCCTGCAGGGCCAGACCAAGGCAAAGATGGTTACCATGGTGTCAGTGCTGCAGGATCTGATTGGCCAGCTCACCAGTATTCGAATGCAACACCTTTTTATGATCCTAGCCTCACCAAGGTCTGGCTTTCCCCTTGACTTTGGGCTGTTCTGGGACATGATGCAGAGCTCTGCCGCCTTGAGCAGCCCTGACCCCTTAGGCCTCATCCCTGCCTCCCATAACAGTGTTGTCCAGCTAGGGACAAAGGTTCTCTTTGGGGCAAGATGGAGTGGTGTGATGAATCTGCCTCCTGGGTAGGACAGGGCAACTGGATGTGGTACCCCTCACAAAAAGGGATTGAAGGATGTGGAGGCTGAGAGGCCAATTAGAGATTTGGTTTCCTGAGCCTCACTTTTCCCAGCAGAGAATGGGGATGCTCGGGTCACACAGCGACACCAAACGCTTACCCAAGTACCCTGCCCAGGTATGTGGACCGAGTGACTGAGTTCCTTCAGCAGAAGCTGAAGCAGTCGCAGCTGCTGGCTTTGAAGAAAGAGCTGATGGTGCAGAAGCAGCAGGAAGCACTTCAGGAGCAAGCGGCTTTGGAGCCCAAGCTGGACCTGCTGCTAGAGATGACCAAGGAGCTACAGAAGCTGGTGAGCCAGCTCGGCGAGCTGCCACAGGGGCAGGCTGCAGTTTCTGCAGAATGAGGCCCCTGCACCCCTCTGCTTCCTGCCTACTTGGTGTCCCCTTCTTTCAGATTGAGGCTGACATTTCCAAGAGATACAATGGGCGCCCCGTGAACCTGATGGGAACCTGTCTGTGACGCCCTCCACATTCTTCCTGCCCATCTTCCCATCCTTCAGGACAGAGTGGGACAGTCAGGTCTGGTGTTGCAGGGCCCTTTCTGGCAAGAGACCAGGCCGACCGGAGGATGGGAAGCCACATGAAGGACCCATCACCCACACGGTGACCCTGACACTCACTACTCTGTGCAAGGAGCTGTCTTGATTGGCCCTGTGGCCCATCAGCCTGAAGCCACAGCTTCTGCTCCTTCATGTTATCTAGTTGGACTTAATAAAAGAGGAAGAGACTCTTGCCTCACTACCAGCAGTTTCTGCTTCTCTGGGTGTGGAGTTAAGGCTGTGCCCCTGTTTGCCTGGGGTTCTTGATCCAGGTGGGCTCTGGGGGCCATCGGCTGTTCCTGTGGAGCCCCAGGTTAAGGACTTGCTCTCTCTGCCTCTGGTGTTGGGGTTGCGGGGGTCAGACTGCATCTACAGGTGGTTCTGCAGGGGCTCTGGGGAAGCTGAGTCATCTGTATCCCTTCCTCTCCACAGCCAGGCCAGACTGCCCCACTCAGGCCAGAAGCCCAAGCAAAACAGTCAGGTGACAGCTGTGTGGAGCCAGGAAAGCCGTATTTTTCCTTTAATTACAGCTTACCTCCAGGCAGAGGGGAAATGTGGCTGGGGAGGAAGGGTCTGAAAAACAAGGTGGAGACAGGCAGTGTCACCTTCACTAGCCGCCTGTCTGCTGCCTGCTCTGTGATTGGGTAGAGCCACCCCAGGATAGCACCCTTCTCCCAAGCTGCCTACCCGTCCCATTTCCCAGGAAGGGTAGGGGTTGGGGGTAGCCAGCAATTCGATTTTAATTTCATAGCAGAGCAGTTGATTCATGGCTCTTTGTCGCCAGCGTTGACTCCCATAATGACTTTCCATCAAAATGAAAAGTGGAGTGACACCACTCATTATTCCTGCTGCTTGTTATCTCAGTTCTGGGGAGGGCCGCCCCCTCCCTGCTGCCTTTCAGCCGTCCTGGACAGTGAGTGATGGCCCCTATTAATCACCGACCCCGCGGACTCTGGCGGACACACGCTATCCAAAGGAAAGAGATAAGGCAGCATGAACTGCTCAGAGCCGCTCCTATCAATTAATGTCAGCCCATCGCTTCCCCCCAATCTTTGCCTGGTCACCTCCTTTTGGGGTTCTTGGGACTGAAATGAAAAGTCTAGGAATTGAAAAAGGAAAAAAATTGGTGTGGAATGTCAAGGTAAAGTGTCCTTAGAATAGAAGGGCATAAAGGGGCCTGAGGGGGCTGCATCCTGCCCTCAGACACTTGGCCCTCGGCCTCGGGAACTGTCTGTCTCCTGGTCCCTTCCCCCCGGAGAGAGTGGCTGCTATCTCTGGCCCCACCTGTTCAGCTGCTGGCTCCACTGGCCCTCTGGCCTGCCTCTTGGAGCAGCCATCAGCTCACCGAGGCATGCTACCCTTGCCCACTTTAATGTCCTTCGTCCAGTCACCAGCTGTTACACAGCCTCTATTGCTTACAGGCATGAGCCGTGGGGAGAAACCCTGAGGATCACATGACCGTGGCAGGCTAAGTTCAGGCCTTGAAAGCTCCTGCTCCTGCCCTTCCAGAGGAGCCTCCCCGTCTCCCCTGCTGCCCAGGGCAAGCGGGAGGAAGGGGTTTGGCCATCCTCACGGAAAAGGAAGTGGGTTTAAATAGAAGGGTTTTCTCAGTAGATTTTGGCCACTTTGGTAAGTGATGTGCTGAGGGGGCTGTTTTCTCTCAGAGGGATTAGGCCCCTTTCACTGTTTGGTAAAAATGAAGATCTACCCTGACACCTAGGCTGATGTAAATGGTTTCTTAGAAGTTTTTAACCCCATAGCATTAGGCTTGTTCTCCAGACCTTTAACCCATTTGTCTTTGGCCCATGGTTCACTTCCTGGAGCCTACTTCCCTGACACCCCCACCCCAGCCCCCCAAACACTGAAGATCCCGCCCAGCTGTCTTAGCCAGGGAAGAGCAGCTGTCTCTCTGATCTGCTCCCAGACTTCCCTCAGTGTCACTCTGGCTGCCTTTAGGTTCCTGCTTGTTTTTCTCAGAATTGCCTCAGAGGTTCTGAGCAGTCAGGTTTTGGGGGACTACAAAAAGAAAGTGGGGAGAGAGGGAGGAAGTGGGCCAAGATTACACCCTCAGAATCCTCAATTTGACATGAATTGTACTGCCAGGAGCACACACTATTTTTTATGTCACCTCGTTCCAGAGAAGATTTCAGGCTCTGATTGCTTAGCTGACTAGTCACCCTGCTTCAGACAAGAAAGCAGAGTTGCTTTTCCAGAATCTTCCTAACCTGCTAAATTCAGCTGCCTAAGCCCCACTCACTGTCACTCTGCTCACATGAAGGCTTTCTTCCTGCACAAACTCTATTGTGTCTTCTCAAAGTGCAGCTCTCTTTACATTCAACAGAACCAATATCCCTTTGTGTGGCAGCCTATGAGGCTGACCATAAATGTGGGCTGAGTAGTCATTGATTGCCAGGGAGATGTGGATACCTACACATCTAGAACTAGTTCCCCATTGCCAGTGGAGGACTGGGATTTATCTGCATTATTCAACCCCCATATTTCGCTCATCCAGAGAATCACCTGCTTCAGAGGACTGGCCTGGAGCTGAGGACCAAGGAATAGTACCTCCAAGGCCTTCAGGAGCAGGAGCTAACTGGCCAGGGCTGCGGAGCCCTGCCCACTCGCTTGCCCATGTGCCTCTCCCTCTGTCTCTCTCCCCCTCATTAATTCCCCAGATGTTGCTTACACAGTTTCTCCCCAAGAAACACTGGTCCTGGGGCTCTTCTCTGCCTTTCATCCATACCTACTAATAATTCTTGTCTCATTTTTTAATTGCCACTTGTTCTCTCTCCCTCTCTCCTCCCCAGTCCCATATATGCAAATGCAACATATAGTAACAGTAACAGGTCAGGAAGACAACAGGCCAAGCAATGTGGTGGTGATGAGCATGTTCACTAGATCTGGACTGCCTGGGTCAACTCCTGGCTCTGCTCTTGCTACCTGTGTGATCTCAGGCAAGTTGTTGGGCCTCTCTGTGCCTCGCTTCCTTCCCCTGTAAAATGAGGGTAGGTAGCGGTGTTTTGTTCACACCTAGATAGCGCTTGGCCCAGTTAGACTCACATGTCAGCTGTTATGAGAGGATGGACTGGAAATAACCGGACTGAGGTTACAATCTTTTGTTTGGGTCCTGGCTCCATATGCCCCAGATATGCCAACATGTCCCAGGCCACACCCATTATCATCCCCATCCCGCACTGCGTCCCTCTGATATTTCTTCTCTATTCCATCAACAGGCCCCATCTTGGCTGGCTCCCCTCTAATCCATGTTTTCCCTGTGCCACAGGCTTTGTCACCCCAATGCTTCCCCTCCTTAGAAACTCTGTTGCCCCCTCAGCTCCCCAAATTCCTAATGTAACAGGCCAGCCCTTCATCATTGGATCTCCGCCTGCCTTTCCAGCCTGGGTATCCACCGGGACACCAAAGCCACATGCGTCCCCAAAGCCCCACCCCACCTCTTGGCCCCCTCCTAGCCTTCCTGACCCAGCTCCAGTGAGGCCCAAACATGTCTGTGGACATCTCCAGTTCCCTGGAAGAATCAGCTCCTTCCCCCGGCAGCCTCCCCACCCTGTGCAGGTGCCTTCAGGGCAGCATCACTGCCTTGCCAGGGCCTCTGCCCGACCCTGAGCTGCTGAAGAGCAGGGACTGGGTCTGGCCTATTTCTGTGTCCCCTTTGGGATCTCAACCTTAACTTCTCGGAACTTCAGTTTTCTTAGTGATCTCTAAAGCGACTTTGGCCTGTAAAATACTATGCATCAGGTGGCTCACATTTTAGCAAAAAGGACGAATCCCACAAAGCACTACAAGTCTGGGGAGAAAATTGGGTTTAAGTAGGCTTTTAAAATGGACCAATAAAAGGATTAAAATCCCTTCTATCAGCTGTGCAGACGGAGCACCTGCTCCGAGGCTCTTCTGGGCTTCATTCCCCTTCCCCGTTTGCTGACGTTGGAGTCAGCCCCTACCTACTTAATGTCACCCATAAGCTGGGCCCTGGACAAGCGGCTCTGCACCCTGAGTAATCAGGTCCCGGGAGCTGCTTCCAGGCTGCTGTCCTGTCCAGCAGATCCCGCAGCCCCTCAGGACAGTGTCAGGCCTGCTCCGGGGCTCTGGAGCCCAGAATGCCAGCTGAATGCAGACTGGCCATGTCCTCTAAATGCCTTTCCTCTCAGATGGGCAGGGCCTGAGTAAATTGGCCCTGAGTAAACTCTTACCTACTCTGCCTGCCACCCTCCTCTCACCAGGCTTCAAAGAAAACCAGTTTGAATATTTAAACTTCTCCTGTGTGTCTAATAAAAAGTTCTGCACTATTTAACGCCACAGCTATCCATTACTGTCGGGAGCTGCCCTCTCCCTCCCAGCACTGCCCCCTTCCTCTCGCCCAGACCACGTGCAGCAGAGCCATTTGTCAAGGCTCTCCCGCCTCCGGGCTGCGCTTGGCTGTGTCTGAAAGGACAAGCCGCCCCACAGGGGAAGGTGGGAATGAATAAAGGGGCTATGCAAATTGCTGCTTAATCTGCAGAGAAACACCCAGGCTTTGGGGAGACGCTCATTACTTCTTTTAACTGTGATTAACGGGCAAATTAAACCCAAGCCCTTAACTCTCTCCTGGCAGCGGACTCGAATGCAGAGCCCAGAGTCTGGGCAGGTGAGGGTGGAGGCAGGCTCCTGTCTTAGCTGTGGCCAGGGGACTGGGACCCAGGTGCTGGAGTGCTGCCTGTTAACTGCTGTTGTTGAGGGGCAGGAGGGAGGGGAGCCCTGAGTGAGGTGCATATCCAGCACAATCAAGCCGAACACGTGGGGAAGCACTTGGAGCTCTTGCAGGTTTCTTCAAGATGGAACAAGGTCATGGCTCCTGGATGTGCTGCCCATCTTTCCCCCACCAAAAAGAGTTGAGAGAATCCCTCAGACCTCACCTGCTGTGACATGCTGAGGGTGTGACCAAAGGGGCTTGAGTGACAAACTGAGTTCCTGGACAAACCAGCCCCAAACCTGGGCCTGGAAAAGTACGCATAAGGAACCTCCAGATGTTCAACTCCAAAACTAGCCTTGACACCTATTAACCCAGCAAGTGGGGAAGAGGCAAAGAAGCAGGAATGGAGGGGGCAGAGGGTTTTTATGGGAGTAGAAACTCTGGGAATAGTCTTGCGACAGGTTATACAGGCTATAGGCATACACCCAAGTTAGAAGGGATCAAAGATCCAAAGT